GTGTCATCGGCAAATTGAAGGATTTCAAATTGAGTTTGGTCATCCATACAAAAACCCTTGAAATCCCCCAAAGAAGAAGCCATTTCCACAATCCCGGATAAGCCTTCCGCTACTAACAAGAAAAGAAAAGGAGAAAGCAGATCCCCTTGCCATAATTCTCTATGGAACAAAAAATAACGAGTCGGACTACCATTCACAAGAATAGACATTGAACTATTAAAGACCAATGCTTCAATCCGACTTTTCCACTTATGACCAAAACCTATTCTTCTAAACAAGTATCTAAGGAAATCCTAAGACACACAATCATAAGCCTTCTCGAAATCCACCTTCACAACCATACAACTCTTCTTAAAGCTCTTGGCATAATCCAATAACTCATTAACAGTTAACACGTCATCCAACATATTTCTTTTAGGAATAAAAGCGTATTGACAAGCCGACACAAGTTTTCCCACCACCAACCTTAATCTATTAGCAAGTAACTTGGTGTTGCACCCCAAAATTTGCCCTCTTTCAAGACTTGACTCATTTCTTCATTTCTTTCAAATTCAATGACATAAGGGAGGCCCATCATTCCAAATTCAAGTTTCATGAATTCAAGGCTAGATTCAAGAATATTACAAAGAGAAATTTCATGACATTTGCAAGAATGTCACATTTGTTACAAAATCCAAACTCTTGGTAATGCTTAGGAAATTAAGTTATTTCTAGTCTTAATTCAAGTTTCTAAAAATAACTTCATGCCATGGTATCCCTCATGCCTCATCAAGTCCACATGGTCCTCTTTGTGCTTACAAACATCCAAGAAACATGCAAGGATTAAATCAACATTGGAATGTTTTAGGACCAAGAATATACATGTTTAATCATGGCAAAATAATCCCATGCAAGAGGTGACAAATTTCTTCATGTCACAAAATCACATGTCACAAGACCAAAGGAATAACATGTGACAATGCTTCTACATATCAGAATTTTCAAAATGTTGTCAAGAGTTGATGGCATTGACCAAGAGGAGTTGTCCAAACACAAACAAACAAAATGGGTGCAAGGCACAAGGTGCTGCAGCAAATAGGCCTAGCAATAGTGCAGAAAATACAGCATAGCAACATACATGGAAATGGAAAGAAAGAGAGTGACATGAAGAAAGTTGCCTTGGACATTTCTAAGTAAGGATTTGAAGTCTTGAAGGAAGAGTAAACCCTAATGTGCTGAGATAAGAGAGGAGAGGGGGCTAAAAACACATTAACTATCATTCACATACACAAGATTGAGAGAGCAAGAGAGAAGAGAAAAATAGAAAATAGTGAGAGCAACACACATTGCAAAGAAAACCAGAAAAATAGAGAGAGCAAAAAACCAGCAAAAAGTGAAGAGAGTAAACACAAGGCAGCCATTGAGGAGAGTCATCAAAGCATAGAGTGAAGAGGAGTGAACACCTAGCCAAAATCAGTGGAGGCTTTGCAAGGAGGGTAACAACTCTTGGGTATCCATCTCTTTAAACTCTTCTCTTCTTTTATATTACGCATTTATCATTTGTTCTCTTGGTTTGAGTGTTGTTGTATTGAGTATAACATGTAAGGTCCTAATAGGGACCAAGAAACCTTTTGAAGGAACCACAAAAAGAAGTAAAAAAACATAGAAAAAGTTAGGGTTTTTCACTCTGGTAGCCCAACACGGGCCGTGTCACACGACACAGCCGGCCGTGTTGCAACTCTGCGTGGCTTTTCAAAGTGAAAAATGCCATGGGCTCACAACACGGGCCGTGTCACACAACACGGGCACCCGTGTTGTACCTCTGTTTGAGATTTTAACTTGTTTTTGGCCCAGACCCTGTGACACGGGCCGTGTCACACAACACGGCCACCCGTGTCACACAACACGGCCGTGTCACACCACTTTTTGACCCAAAACTCATTTTTTCCTGGAACTGTGACACGGGCCGTGTCACACAACACGGCCGCCCGTGTCAGACCCCTGTTTTTCACGTTTTTTCGACTTTTTTACCTCAAAAATATTTTTTCAAGGAGTTCGCACGGTGAACTCCTTGATGGCACTTCGTTCCGTTTTTTTTGTGTTTTGTTTTTTTTAAGCCAGTTAACCCGTTATGATTGTTTGGTTTTTATGCATATTTATTGTTGGTCATTTTTGACCTTTGGTTCTAAAAACCATTTTTAAGAAAACAAACTCTCGATTCTCATCGAGCCATTTTTGACCTTGTAAGCCGATTGCCTTGTGCATCACCATCGACCTTGCTCGCTTCACCTCAAACCTTTTTAAGCAACTAAAACCCTTGACCCAACGTCAAGCGGATTTTCTCAAATAATGGTTAAACCAACTCACCATATTTAACAAAACGATAAAGTTCACTTTGTATTAAACTAAAGAGAGGGGATTGAGTGTAGACTTCTTCCTCTCCGAGTGTTGAGATGCTCACTGTAGTGTGGGTGGTTTTGACACTCGTCTTTCAATACAAAGATGTTTTCATCCACACCTTTTTTCTCCTAAAAAACCTCGGCCCCGGTACCGAGTGCATTTTCAAAACACTTACAATAAATAAATCGATTCTCTTTGTATTGAACTAAAGAGAGAGGATTGAGTGTAGACTTCTTCCTCTCCGAGTGTTTGGATATTCACTGTAGTGTGGGTGGTCTCGATACTCGTCTTTCAATACGAAGACGTGACTTTATCCGCCGCCTATCTCCCTCTACAACTTCTTTCCGTAACCTTTCTCACCTAAAACCTCGGTCCCGTACCGAGTGCATTTTCAAGCTCTTTTCGTAACAAAAACTTGAATGGTCGTGGAGTGGTTAGGCGTAGGCCTTCTCCTATCCCGAGTGCTGACGTTTACCGTAGGGTTCTCTGTTGCAAAAGCACTTACCATTCAAAACCAAAAACACTTTAATAAGAGAATGAAGTTCTCTTTGTATTGAAATGAAAAAAGAGGATTAAGTGTAAACTTCTTCCTCTCCGAGTGTCAAGACGCTCACTGTAGTGTGTGTGGTTTTGATACTCGTCTTTCAATACGAAGACGCTATGTTCGCCACACCCTTTCATAACAAAAAATTTGAGATAAAGAATTGGGTACTACCCGTAGGGGTTACTATCCGAGGACCTATCTCACCCCTTAAAAAACAATTCAACAAATCAAATGTGACATCTTGCCTCGCATGGAGAAAACTTATCTTTTGAAAAGGATATGATACGTCCGTTCTATCGCAAACAGGTAATGCCTAAGTCTCCAACGAGCGAGCAGCAATACACCTAACTGCTAGAATGCGTACGGTAGCATCATCCATAAAAACATCAACGAATCGTAGGCCGAACTACGACTGCTCTGATTCTTTACTTCGTTCAAGTAAAGATACGTAGGCACAAGGGCCACAATCCTTGTCGAGCACATTCTCCCTTATATATGTAGTTCCCCGAACTACGTCGACTCTGATTTTCTCATGTCTATCGAGAATACGTAGGCCTAGGACCGCGAAGTCCTACCGAGTCCATTCTTTCTTTTCCTTCCCCTGTTATCTCTCTTTTCCCAATTTCTAACCTTTCCCTCTATCCTTTGGAACACTCTTTCTATAGTATAATACTTAAGCAAATAAATTCACATGGCGACAAACAAATGGTTCCCATCGAGTACGATGGATGCGAGGGGTGCTAATACCTTCCCTTCGCATAACCGGCTTCCGAACCCGTTCTTGGTCGCGAGACCATTTTATCCGTTCTTTTCTTGAGGTTTTCTCGATATTTTCCTTTTCCCTCATGGGATGAATAAAATTCGGTGGCGACTCTTCTCTCCTTTTTTCTTTTCGCCTTCCCCATCGTTGCGCATATTTTTCGAGTAGCGACACTTGGCAAGAATCCAATACATACAACCAATTAGACAAATTTGTCTATAGTCATCTAAGGATATAGGATTTTCAATCTTAGGGATTAGGTCCAAGAAGGAGGCAGTGACCGCCATGGGCAAAGTAGCAAAAGAATGAAATTCATTAACAAACTCCAACACCTCTAACTTTAAGAACACCCAACAAACCTTAAAAAAAGACATGGTAAACCCATGCGGCCCCAGACTCTTATCCCCATCGCAATTCCAAATGACATCTTTCACTTCCTCCTCCGAGAACGACAACTCCAAGAAAGCGACATCCTCCACCGATAGAGATTTGAACGAAATATCATCCAAAAGAGGTCTCGAAGGAAAATTTTCCAAAAACCTTTTCTCAAATGAGATCTCACCTCTTCCTTAACCAAATCCACTTTATCAATCTAACCATTAGAAGTATTCAACCCCAATATTGGATTTCTCCTTTGGCGAAGCTTTATGGACTTGTGAATTTTTTTTGAATTAGAGTCACCTTCCACTAACCACAAACACCTAGCATTTTGCCGAAGGATGCTTTCCTTGAAACGCATATAATCCCACACCTTTGAAGAGGCCACACCACTCTTAGCGGCTAAGTTCTCTCCCACTAACGAATCCGGATTTGAAGATAATAAATCCAAATCATTCAATTCTGTAATAGTGGAATCCACCTCAAGGTTCAAATAGCCAAAAACCTTAACATTTCAATCCCTTAAACAACCTCAAAAAAGTTTCAATTTCTCCTTGAAATAAAAAATCATGATTCCATTAACATTCATCTTATTCCAACTTTCCTCCGCAAAAAGCAAGAAATCATCGTGCTTAGTCCAACAATTGAAAAATTTAAATGGTTTCGGACCCCAATTAAGACTTCCACTTTTGATCCAAATAGGACAATGGTCCGAAAGATCTCTATTGCCCACCACCTGTCCCTCAACATTCCCAGCCTCCATCAAACCATCCGTAATTAAAAATTTGTTCAAGCGACTTATGACTCTCCTATCCAGACTAAACCAAGTGAAATTTCTACCAATCGGCGGGGGATCACACAATTCCATCCTTTCTATGAATGGAAATCGTTCATATCACGCCTATTAACCCAATGATCACAACCTTTTCGCTCAGATTCTTATCTCACCGTATTAAAGTCATCCACTAAAATCCACCCCTCTACCAGGAACCTCTTCTCGATCTCCTCCAAATACCTCCACAAACTTCTCTTCTTAGCATAAAAACAAGAGGAGTAAACATTCACCACATAAACCAAAGAGTTTTTCCAAAAACCACCCACACCCACAAACCCTTCACCTGTAAAACTGAAGCAAGAAGGAAAAAAACCTTGTTTCCAAAGAAGTAACATACCACCAGAATCTCCAATAAAGGGTTTAAAAGTCCACTCAACATTTGTTCCTCCCCATAATTCAAACACTGATATAGCAGATAACTGACTCAGTTTTCTTTCTTGAAGCAGACAAACATCAAAACAATCTTTCCTAATTAACGAACCCAACTGTTTCCGCTTTAAGAAACTGCTCAACCCACAAACATTGTAAGAGAGAAAATTCATGACTGACCTGATTGGTTAACATCCTTCTGATTTTTGACCACAGCAAAGGATCTGGCATCCCTACCAAATTGATTCCCAAAGAATCTCGGCTTCGAGTTGTCTTCAGCGGTAACCTTCGACCTTGGTTTCACCTTAGATTCTCCCTTCAAACTTCGCTGAAAACGAGGGAGATTGACAAACATTTTCAAGATATCAAAGATTGATACTCATTCAACCATTGTCTAAGATTGATACTCATATTGACATCTATTAAGAAAAATTATCAAAGAAAAATGAACTCTAAAAGTTTATGTTTGAGTTAGTTTGATTTGATTTTGATTTATTCGTTAGTTTGATTTGATATTATTTGATTTGGCTCAATTTTTTATTAGAATTGGATTAATTATGTTTGGTTTTTTCTCTTTATATTCTTTTTAAAGAAGTCAAGGAAGAATTTCCGAATGAAAAGTTGTATATGATACAAGTTAGACCTTGGTTCGCCGACATGGTAAACCACAAAGTTGTTGGATTGATACCAGAAGGTCTAACGAGTAACCAGAAAAATAATTTTTTATCTGATGCAAAAATTTTGTATGGGATGAGCCACATTTGTTTAAACTTGGTTTCGATAACATTTTGGGAAGGTGTGTGTCAAAAGAAGAGGTCAATGACATACTTTGGCATTGTCACAACTCTCCGTATGGAGGGCATTTCAATGATACGAGAACAGCAAGGAAAGTCCTCCAATCGGGCTCTTCTTTGTTCAAAGATGCGCATGCGCATACAAAAAGTTGTGACAAATGTCAAAGGAGTGACAAAATTTCAAAACAAAATGAAACGACGTTACAAAGCATGTTGGAAGTTGAAGTGTTTGATTGTTGGGGTATAGATTTTGTTGGTCCATTTCCATCGTCTTTTTCCAATGAGTACATTTTGGTCGCGGTTGACTATGTATCCAAATGAGTTGAAGAAATAGCATGTGCTAAAGTAGATGGAAAACCGTGATAAATTTTTAAAGAAAAACATTTTTCTCGATTCAGTACTCCGAGAGTGTTGATAAGTGACGGAGGATCCCACTTTTACAACACAGCTAGAAAAAGCCTTGGAGCAGTATGGTGTAAAGCACAAAGTTGTGACACCCTACCATCCACAGGCTAATGGGCAAGCAGAGGTGTCAAATCGAGAAATTAAAAAGATTCTGGAGAAAACGGTGTCGAGCTCTAGAAAAGATTGGGCAAACAAGCTTGATGATGCTTTGTGGGCTTATCGGACAGCCTTCAAGGCTCTGATTGGTCTCACACCTTTTAAAATGGTCTATGGTAAGAATTTTCATTTGTCGATAGAATTGGAACATAAGGCATTTTAGGCCTTAAAACTTCTGAATTTCGAGCCAAGTTTGAGCGGAGAAAAAAGAAAAGTGCAATTCCACGAAATGGAGGAAATGTGCCTCCAAGCGTATAACTCCAACAGGCTGTACAAAGACCGAGTGAAAACTTACCATGACCGAAAAATAGTAACCAAGCAATTTAAAGTAGGGCAACTGGTCTTACTTTTCAATTCTCGATTAAAATTGTTCCCTGGAAAGCTAAAATCAAAGTGGTCTGGCCCGTTCCGGATTCGTGAAATCAAGAGCTATGGGGAAATTATCATCGAAAGCATGCATTCAAATGAGAGTTGGACTGTAAATGGTCAGTGGTTGAAGATTTATCTTGGTGGTGATTTCGAGCGGAATACCACTACAGTGTCCTTCTGCGATCCTTGAGGTTGCATTGGACCGTCGAGCTGAAACGACGTTAAACAAAGCGCTGGTTGGGAGGCACCCCAACATTGTATGTATATGATGTGTTAATTTCTTATATTTGTTGTTTCTTAATTTAATCAGGCAGATAGTCGGAGAATGCTGGTTGAAACAAACTTGTCTGGCAGTGATTCACTGAGCACGCTTAGCGCACCTCTAAGTCCGCTTAGCACGGTCTCAAAAAACAGCCCATACAAGTTGGGCCTGAGTGAGGTGATGGGCCTCCGGGTCAACTTTTAAAAAAAATGAAGGAGGGAATCTGAAAACCCCCACTTCCCCCTCTCAGCAGCTGTGTTCACCATTCCACACTCCCTCTTGCTCCCTCAAATTCTTGTGTTCTACCTTCACGAATCTCGTCCAATTTCACATCATCTCCTCTCATCTCATCTTTAGGTTTGAATATTTTGTGCATTTTCTTTATTTTCGTCTAAACATTGCATGTTTAGGTTTAGTTGAGATTTTGTGAATAATTGGCATATTGTAGATTTGGCACTGTTAGGTTAGATTTGTTAGGATGTAGAGAACCTGTTTCTGTTAGAGCCCAAGGGTAGAGTTGCTGATTTGTGTTCAATTGCATGTCAATGATTTGATGGGTGTGTAATTGTTTCAATTTTTGGACGATTGACCTTGGGCACGTTAGTTTTTTTCTCAATTTTCGCAGGCGCGCTAAGCGGGCTCATGATCGCGCTGAGCGCGCCCCTCTTGTTTTCACCTTGGCCAGCTTTCCTGAGCGCATTAATCGGGCTCTGGCCTTGCTAAGCGCACACCCCTAGGACCATAATGTTTATTTTTTATAGTTGCAACACCTGTGTGACTATTTAATATTGATCTAGTATTTCTATTGATTTTTCTAGAATTTATTGACTGGTGATTTAATTTTTTTCATTGCTGTTTTGGTATGATTTTCTTTGATTGCAGATGACTCTAAAGCATGCTCGGTTCAGTGTTGGTCAAACCTCTCAGCAGAGGCAGCCCCCAGTAGAGTTTGATAGCCACAGATTCCTAGGAGTAGAGCAACAGGGCAGATATTTGGAGTTAACCTGCAGAAGCATATGGACGAAACGTATCTTCCAAATTAACTTGCACGGGGAATTTCAAGCCTGTCAGAGCATTATTGAGAGTCACAGATGGCAACGTCTCCTAACCCCTCCAACATTACTGAACTTCGAAATTGTGCGTGAGTTTTACGCAAACGCATTCCTACTGAAGGGCAGCTGTATACCTTCAGATCTTTTGTCAGGGGGAGGGAGGTTTCTTTTTTAAGAGATGCTATTAATGAATTTTTAAGAAACCCCCTGGTTTTAGATGAAGGCGGGTAGTGCGCATATTATAGGCAGGTAGCTCGTAGGAATTGGAACTTGGAGAATATGTGCTTGGCTTTGGCACACCCAGGCTGTGGATTTGAGCTTAATGCGGCAGGGAGGCCAAAGATTCTGAAAAGAGGAGACATGAGCACAACAACTCAAGTCGTCATAACTCTTGTCCTGCACAACATCAGGCCAAGAAGTCATACCTCTTCCATACCAGTTGACATCTCTTTCATGCTTTATTATATTATGAAGGAGAGATAGATCGATGTGGCGAGGATCATATCTAATGAGATTCGATCTATCGCTACTAGTAGGCACCGGTTGGGAATCAAGGTACCCTCTATTTTGGTCTTTCCCGGTTTGATTATGAGGTTATGTCAGAGAGCAGGTGTCTCGATCCCGGGTGTGGTCCATAAGACCATAAAAGGGGTTGTGACAGATACTTAGATCCAAAGCCATTGCATGCCTAGATTTGACCAGCCACCACCACCACCACCACCAGTCCGTACCGATGACTAGCCACCGCAACAACCACCACACTGCATGTATATTTGGGACATTCACATGGCTCATCAGAAAGCATTTTCATTTTTACATTCATCTATACGAGCCTTACATTTGCAGGTGCGAGAGCCACATGTGGACCACAATTTTCCTTCGCAGCAGGATTATGATGCACATGTAGCTTGGCCTGTGGACAGGCCTTTTTATTTTCTGAGGGGGCAGGTGCTAAATCAGGTTCCACAGCCTGAGGAGGATAGGGCCGATGAGGTTATAGGTGATACTAGTGATGTTGTTGTAGAGGGCGGGGGAGATGATGAAAAAGATGACAGTGGAGAGACCATTTGGAAGGATGAGTCAGAGTCCAGCTACGACTATTAACTGATTATGGATTATTTAGTTTACGTTTATGTTTATGTTTATGTTTATGTTTATGTTTGATCTAGCCGAATATTATGCTGGGTTTTTTTTTTGTCTGGATTCATTTTGTACCATCCTTTAAAGGATGAGGAACGAATTGGCGACACCATTGTTATGAATGTCGCAAGTTTTGGTATTATAATATTATTGGTTTTGAGTAGTTTTTGTTTTTTTTAAGTTACTTATGGTTTTTATGAAATTTGTTGTTTTGTTTTGTCCTAAGTTGAAACTTGAAGGAACTTTTGAACTTTTGACAAGATTGATGAACCAATAGGCGTTTGAGTGGTAATGATATGATCAAGTAAAGGTATCATGCAAGACACATTTTTATCGCTTTCTAAACTACGCATGGAAATGAAACTTTTAAGGAGTGTGAGAATTTGTAAACATTACTTCTTTTGAAATACTTGTTCATTTTGAATCATTTTAGACCATTGCCTTTGTGAGGAAGCCTTCATGGTAGAATATTTGCAGAATACCGACATTCATTGTTGACTCGTCCTTATTATGTTGAAATCATGCATGGGTGTTAATTTATGGAAAAGAAAGAAAATGATCAAGGCAATTTTTGTGCACTTTGAGAAAAACCACTTGACCAAATATTAATGATCAATCTACCATGCGAGTGAGTGAGTATTCGATCCCCCTTTATTGAGCCTTCATTTCAAGATCCATGTGAATAATTAGAATGTGTAAATATTGTGCACACAAAAAAATTTGGAATGGATTTTGGAATTTTGTTGTGAAAATTTTTGAACCAAATCTTATGTGTGAGAGCATTCCGAATGATCATGTTTGGTTGTGATTCAAAGTTGGAGAGGAAAAGGTGGATTGAGACATCATAAAAAAGAGAAAAAAAATAAGGTGGTTTTGATGATGAAAGAGCTTGAAATAAAGAAGCAAGTGGAAAGATAGGAATTTGGGCATGAATTGCCATATATTAAAAAAAAAAGAGAGATCAAGGTTGTAATGATGCCTCTAAAGAAAGAAAG